TCTCTCAGTTGGCTCCAGTGCACAGTGTGGTGGCTGATCCAGTCCTACACCTTGCACTGCCAACACCACGTTGGGTCTCATTCTGTAACTACGTGACAGTCGGGTCCATATGCAATAAAGGCTATCGTCCCCTTGCACCTTCCCAGTTCAGCGCCAGTTGTGGTTTTCTATTCAGCTTTGCCCAATCTGGTTTGATCAGTCCATTCAAGTGGTGCAAGATCTTAGGGATACCTCCGCAGAGATTTGAGTAACACGTGGCGTAGATACACCGTGTGCCTTGAGCAGAATAGGTGATCCTCTGAAGAGTAGACAGGGATCACCTGTACCGGTCAGAAGGAAGGGAATTGGGGCACTAATTGGCAGCACAGGTTAGGGGCTGAGATCGGATGCTTCTCCACTCTCCCTGACTCAATAGGCCGCCAAGCTTACTGTCTGTGCATCGGCAACATGAATCTCTGAGACATCAAACACGTTTCGGTATCACCCCATGTGATTTAGGAGCACGCCAGGATGAGCTAGGGTTGTCGATGGAGGTGTAATTTGTCACAATAGCCGCTCTTAGATGATTTTATGTCTCCATTTATGTTGGGCAAAAGCAATATCCCCAGGACGTACTTGAAAACCAGAGTATGGTAATCTGAATGTACCTTTCTTGATTAAATACTTTGTTGTTATTATTATTTATTTTTTTCTTCTTTTTAATTTTTTTCACATATTTTGACTTTTTTTTTTTAAAGCGGGACCATTTTGCTTCTTGCACAGGACCTTCGAAGGGATATTCCACCCTGAATGTGCAGCTCTGCAACACGTTCTCTGGCCGTCCATATACGCTGTCCCTTTGCAATACATTCTCCAGATAACCACATTCACTTCCACAACCTGTAATGTCATTTGTATACTGCTCTATTGGCTCATGGTGTGTATTATAGTTTCGGTCTCCACTTGATTGCGAATATCAGCAGCTCTTCACTGTTTTTTGTACAATATATTAGTTGATTGATACTTATTAACATAGTGCCTACTCTGAACTATTATTTTGCAATCTATATATTTTTGTGTAATAGTGTAGTGAAACACTTTCCCCCCTCCCCCTTTTTTCTTTTTGGTTGGATTTAGGATATCTATTTTCCTTAGCAGATAGGATTATTTTGTTTAGTATGTACCTGTTTTATGTATAGATTTAATTCCTGAGAGTTTCTTTTTTGCATTCCTAAATCATTTTGAGTGCGATATCTTTATTTCCATGTTAAAAGTAAGATGTGTTGCAAAATAATATCCTACTTAATTCCAGGAAGATGACAATGAGTAAGATGTATTGAAAATAACTCAAAGGCATTGTTAATATCAGCTTTATACATGAATACCTCTACCATCTAATCAAGTTAACGTTTTAAAGTTTTAATGAAAATTTCCCATATGCTACTCCAATAAAGTTAACCTTCCATGAAGAAAATTGCGTTTTAACAAAAGGCCCCAGCAAACAGTAAAAAAACAAAAAACCTTATCTACCTGCTGAATAAACATATATCATTCCTAGGTAGATTGTGACATCAAAATCCCTGATGATGTTGTAATTAAACCTGCATGATATCCCTCAACAAACTCTTACTCGAGAATTTGGCAATGTTTTGAAAAAGATACTTACACAGAAAATAAGATAAGGTTGGACATACAGACATGGGAAAAAGAAGTATTTTGAACTCTATGGTTTTACATAAATAACAATCAACTGTTCCTTAGCAGGTCTTAAAATTAGGTAAAGACAACCTCAGATGAACAACAACACATGACCTATTACATAGTGTCATGATTTATTTACCAAACATAAATCCAAAATGGAGAAGCTGTCAGGAACTGCTCTGCTGGGTTCTGATGTCTGACCATGGCTTCTGATATCCAGTACTCTTTTTACAATTCTTGTCTAGTTTTTCTTGGTTTTTCTGGTTTTCTATTCTGTCTGGTTTTCTTTATGCTGGATTTTCTGGGTTCATTCCTTTATTCCGTTCCTGGAATTCCCAGTCTCCTGGATTCCTTTATAGGTTTGTTTTATGTTGCCACACCCTTTCCTTTTCCATTAATCCTTTTGTTTCAGTTGGTTCCTGCAGACAGTTGCTTCATGTGCCCCTTTCTTTGCAGGTAAGTGCTGTGTGTGTTTTATTATTGTTTATTTAGTCATGCATATCTAGGCAGTTAGGACCCACCGTACTTGGAGCACTTTGGTGCAGTGGTGGGCTGCATACATCTTGGCCATTTATGTACAGGGAGTGCAGAATTATTAGGCAAATGAGTATTTTGACCACATCATCCTCTTTATGCATGTTGTCTTACTCCAAGCTGTATAGGCTCGAAAGCCTACTACCAATCAAGCATATTAGGTGATGTGCATCTCTGTAATGAGAAGGGGTGTGGTCTAATGAC